GCACTGCTGGAATTGCCGTTGGCCAACACGGCTCGGCTGAACGACATGCATAAGTTCACCGATACCGAGCTATTCATTCAGACCGATTTCGCTGCGCAGATCTCCAACGCTGCCCAGGACAACCTCTGCTGCACACACAGGAACCATACGAATCTCGACGTGTTCGTCGTAGCATCGGATCCACGACTCGTCGACGTGACGGTGAAGCATGCCGACGGGTCCTCTTCCTTCGTCAAGAAACGCATCACAGACAACCACGCGTGGAAATTCTACGCCGGTGCCTCGGGCAAGGGCAAAGATAACGACTACTTCTTCCATCACGCCGCTCTGACCCATCTGGTGGATTTCTACGTGGCGAAACGAGTCAAAGACAACAAGCCGCCTTTGACCCGGGTCATTCTCTGGACCGACGGATGCCCCGGCCAATATATGTGCAAAGAGAACTTCGTGAAGGTCGCCGCCTTTTGGTCGAAAAAGGGCATCGAGCTGACGCATCGATTTGCCAGTGCCCGCGTCCCCCGAAGATGGCCCGAGCCTGCGAGACGATGGCCCCATAGGCGGCTACGAGTGATTTCAAAGGTGTGCATGACACTATAGGCAAGGAGGACCGCCGCTGGATCAATGCGAACGCGCGGCGCGACGTCATCAGCGTCCCCCAGCCCTACGACCTCTTCACAGCGGTCCGCGATGGTCGGCCGAAGCCGAGCATGGACTGGAACGCCTCACCTACGATTCTGGCGAAGAAGTGCGACAGACGGCGTCCAAATCCGCGCAGATCGACGCGAAGACGTCCAAATCGCGTAGGTCGACGCTCTCCTTGGACAAGTACTTCTACCGGTTCATCACGTGGACCCAGGACGACCCCATCGGAGTCGACGACGACGACGTGTTCTTCGCGGACAAGTCTGCCAAATGGAGCGCCTCGCCCGTCGAAGGCTGCAAGTCTGATCGAGAGTACCGGTCTGGTTCGTCTCACGCTGTCGACGACCTGCGGCGCCGCGCCCAGCCCTGCTCGTGCTCCAAGTGCCGCGTGAAGGACTACGACAACTGCCGCTACAAGGCGTGGACCGCGGCCCCCGAGATGCGCCAGAGCGACGGCTGGACCCGCACGACCATCATCCTGAAGCCGCCCTCCGGCGATGACCGCTCGAGCGCGCGCGTCATCGCCCAGGGCCTGGCGGAGAAGGACGCTCGTCTCGCTGCCCTCGCTCCGAAGATCCGCAAGGGCGATGTGGTCGCCTTGGGCATCTCTCAGAGCGAACGTGACGCCCAGGGCGTCGACTTCTACCTCGCCAAGGTCGTCGTGCCACCGGCGCGCGCGGACAACCAACGTCGGGTCAACGGCTCGGGGCGCGACGGCTGGAACATCAAGAAGGGCGAGTTCTGCTTGACCGTGCGCTGGTTCGACCTGAAGCCGTGCGGCTACTACGAGGACTACGGGTCCCAGGACGAGCAGCTCCTCGAGATGGTCATCGCGGTCGGCGACGGCGCCGCGCTCGTGCTCGAGCCCGCCCCTCGGAAGGGCAGGGCGCGTGGGGCCCCGGCCCAGTTCCAGCTCGCCAAGGCGTCCGAAGCGGCCATCCACAACGAGAACTTGGACAAGTACGTCGACCGGGCCGCGGCGGGCTCATCTGCCTGAGAATCGGCGCCGAAACGCGCGCGCCGCGCGACGCCGCGGTCGACGCGCGGACGCCTCGCCGACCGCAGCACGTTCCACGTGGTTTATCGCACGGACCCGCCTTTGCCCACGCCTTTTATGGTCCTAATGACGCCTCTTTCCCCCGTGGCGCGGGCCGCTACTCGGCGGTCCGTGCGCGCTGGGGCCTATGTGTCCGGCCGTGTCCCCACTGATCTGATTTTGGATGCGGCGCGGCACTCGCCGCCGCCGCCGCCGCCCAGGGCGACGCGCGCCCCCGGGGGGACGTAGCGACGGTTTAATGCGGCGGGATTAGCCGCGCGCCAGGCGTCGCCAGGAATCGGGGTCGGCGTCGTCCGCGCGGGCGGCCTCGGCGCTGGTCCCGCTCCTCAGGCGGACCTCGCCGGCTTCGGCGCGGTCCCGCCACTTCTTCTTCTCAGCGTCGTCGAGCACCATCCATTTCCTCAAGAGGTCATTGGTCGGAAGCGGCATGACGCCGACACTCATAGCGCGGCATAAGGTTGCGCAGTACTTGTCGTGAATGGGCGCGTGCGCTTTGTGGCACGCTTCGCTGCAATACTTGGTCGTGCGGCAGTCCGGGCACGACCGGAAGTCTATCCCGCGATTCTGGCAGAAGTTTCCGCAACATAGCTCGAATTGATTGCGCATCGGATGCTTGCTTCGTAGCTCGTCGCGACTCATCTCCATCCGCCCGCCAGTTGCTTTCACATACGCCTGGATGGAATCGATCTCCTGTTCCACGATGGCTTCTTCCGCGGCGCGCGCGAGCACCGCACGCGAGACCTCTTTACAACGAGGCTGATATGCAGCCGATGAGGAGTCCTCTGAATCAAGTTGATCGACCGCCGTCCGCATATTCCGAAGCGTGCAGAACAAGTTGCACTCCTCTCGATGCCCGCCCCGCCAGTCCACCTTTTGACACTCTTTGCTGCAGTAGCGCGTCGTCTTACAGCCCTCGCACTTCAGAGACCCCGCCTTGCCGCAATTCCGACAGTTCGTCGACGCGATCTTGATGGGCACGGATCGCGAGCCACGGATCGGCGCGTCATCCGGGCCGGCGACGATGACGAAGCGACGGTTCTCGTGGTGACGGCTCAGGTCATTGATGCGCACTTGTAGCGTCGCCGCGGCGCCCGGGTCCATCTCGAGCATCGGTTTCGACTCCTCCGCGAGCTCGAAGAGCGGCACCCGTCGGTTCATGATCTCGCTCTGAAAGAAGCCGACCTGGATCTCGCCGGAGCTGCAGATCGGCTCCGCGAGGGGCTCGCCCGCGGCCTCGAGGACCAGCCAGAGCGCGAGGCTCACGTGCTTTTTGGTCACATTCGACACGGCGAGGTGCATCCAGTTGCCGTCTTCCAAGTCCGTAAACCAATCGACGTACCCATGATGCATGTCGCCCTCGGAGCACTTCTTTCCGCGCTTGTTCCGGGCAATGATTGACGCGATGAGAACGGCCGCCGCCTCGGGCGCCGGGTGCTCGCGGACCTCCGGCGGCCGAAACGAGAGGTTTGCCGCCGACGTGATGTCGATGGGCACGGACCGGCAGCCGTGGATGGGCGCGTCCACCGGGCCGGCGACGATGATGAAACGCTGGTTCTGGTGGCAGTAGCTGAAGTCGTTGATGCGCACCTTGAGCGTCACCGCGGCGCCCGGGCCCATCTCGAGCATCGGCTTCGACTCCTCCGCGAGCTCGAAGAGCGGCACCCGGCGGTTCATGATCTCGCTCTGGAAAAAGTGGACCTGGATCTCGCCGGAGCTGCAGAGCGGGTCCGTGATGGGCATCGTCGCCGCCTCGTAGAGCAGCCAGAGCGCGAGGCTCACGTGCTTTTTGGTCACGTTCGACACGGCGAGGTACATCCAGTTGCCGTCTTCCATATCCGTGAACCATTCGACGCACCCTTGATTCATGCCGCCCTCGGAACATTTCAGAAATGATTCCTCTCCGCGCTTGTTCCAGGCAGTGAGAGACGATATTGATACGGCTGTCGACTGGAGCGCCGGGTCGTCGCGAAGCTTCGGCTCCGGCGGCGGCGCCGAGCGGACCGCCTCGCGCGCCGTCGGCTCCGGAGGCGCGGTGCGGACGGGACCCTCGGAGGCCGGCATCGAGCGCAGGGCCTTTGAGATCACCTCTCGCGTCGCCTCGCAGCTTTCGCACTTCATGCCGAACGTCCAATGCTCGACCGCCATGGGGTCTTCGGGGCCCGCGGGCGTCATGAGCTCAAAGCCGTGATCCACGCAGAGATGGGCCTTGCATATTGGGCAGCAGCGAAAGAGTGCGGGCCCGGTCGCGCTTACGCAATCGCCACACCGAGCCCGCGCGCATCCCGGGAACATACAGACCATGGCTGGAGGCGCGAAATAGTCGCTCTGGCAGTCCTCACATTTCAAATGTGGGCTGACCCACGACGGATCGCGCGCTTCCTCGTCAGTGCCCGGCGCCCGCTTCAGTGCATTGGCGGCCGCCTTCTTCGGGTTGCGCGACTTCTTGCCCATCGCTTTCACGGACGCGCAGGCGCCCGGGCACGATGTAGCTCCGCGGGCACTTGGTGGTGACGCGGCTAAGCTGTCCGGAGCGTCGACGGGGCGGGCGCGTCAGTTAGCTCTCACGAGGGGCCTGTCTCGGGCACGACCATGCCGGCACGGACCGAGGCAAACATCGGCATGGTGCCGTGCGCTCAGTTCGAGGATCTCTGTCCAACCATGGGCAAGGGCGCGGCGGCCAACGAGGTGCCAAGCGGCGAGCTGCTGCCCTTCGCCTCGTGCTGCTGCGCGATCTATTCTTGTTACAACAAGTTCCCCGACTGCTGTGGCATCTATTCGAACACGACGTGCTGCTGCCTCCAGCAGGAGCTCACGTGCTGTAAGTGCGACAAGGAGCTCATGGACGAGGACGAGTGCTGCACCATGTACCAGGGCAAGATGGCCTGCCTCGAGAAGCCGGGCTGCTGCAAGGGCGTGAGCCAGGTCTGCTGCATCGACGGCCGCGGCGCGCTCCCCTGCGACAAGGACGTGCCCTGCATGTTCGGGGTGTGCTTCGTCACGTGCTACCCGAAGTGCGCCGTCTGCAAGAAGGTCAACGAGATCGTCCCGCCCGGCGCCGCGGAGTCGGGCGGCGGCGCGCCGCCCGCGGCCGCCGAGTCGGGCCTCGAGGCGCAGACCATGGACCACCACCGCGCCTAGGGGGTTGGCGTTGGCGCGGGGGCCCCACCGAAGCTCTTGTGAGGGTCCCGTAATAGCCCGCGAGCCAGCCTTGCTCCACGAGGCACGCGCCGGAAGAGATGGGCAGCCCGCGAGAGCCACCAGACTGAAATCGGTGGCTTCAATGCGACACCAAGATGAAGTTCAACGAGCTTCGTTTACTCCCTACTTGCGGTCGAGGGCGGCCTTGGACTTGGGCCAGGGCGCGCCGGCGCCCGGCGCCTTGCGCTTCCAGGCCGAGGCGGGCCCCTTGGGCTCCCGGGGCTGGCCCCAGAGGCCGCGGCGCTTCCGGAGGGACGCGACGTCGCCGCCGACGCCCGCGACGCCCGCGTCGTCGCAGATCTTCTTGAGGGACCGCGCGAGGCGCACGCGCTCGAGGCGCGTCGCGCACTGGAGCGCGAGGCAGGACGGGACGAGCGCGCCGTCCTTGTCCTTCTTGCCGCTGTCGTAGTCAACGCCGAGCGTGCAGCCCTCGCGGAACGAGAAGCCGAAGGCGTCGTTCTTGGCCACGGACTTGGGGCTCGACGCGGAAAAGGCGAGCTTCTCCTTGCTCACGAAGGCGCCGTTGTGGTACGCGAGCTGCTTCGCGTCGTCGAGGAGCGCCGCGCGATCCTGGCCCGTGATGCCGACGACGGCGCCGACCTTGAAGCCCTGCTTGCTGAAGACGCCGCCGTCGGTCCAGGAGAGCGCGCCGTCGGCGTAGCGCAGGTGCACGGTCTTGCACTTGATGGCCTCGCCGACGGGGTTCAGGTGGTTGTGGCTGAACTTCTCGATCTCGTAATAGGGCGCCGCGCCCAACTTCCCGCACACCTCGGCGAACTCGGCGTCGCTCGTCCTGAGCGCCTTCTGGTAGGCGCCGAACTTGCGGAAGAGGGGCTGGATCTTCGCGACGAGCGCCGTCCGCTTCTCGACGTAGGCCCGCACCGCGAGGAGCCGCCGGACGTGTTTCTCCAACGCGACGACGCGCGGCCGCAGGGACGCCGCGTAGGTCGCGCCGCCGCGCGCCCGAAACTCCTTGGCGACGGTCGTCTTCAGTGTCGCGTACCGAAAGAGCCGGGCGACGGCGAGCGCGCGCCGGACGACCGTCTGCGCGCGGACGCACCAGCGGATCCGCGGCTTCCCGAAGTCGCGGAACGTCTGGTCGAAGTTCTTGCGCGCGATCGCGCGCCGCGCCGCCGCCGTGGCCAGCACCGCCGCGCGGATCGCCCGGCGGCGCAGGGCGACGGCGTTGTAGGTCCGCGCGCGCGTCTGAAGGGTCGTGACCTTCGCGACGGTCGCCAAAAAGATCGTCCGCTGGCGCTTGCGGCGCACCTCCTTCTGGACCCAGGCGACGACGGCGGGGAGCGCCTGCGTGCGCGCCGTCTCCAACGCGAAGAGGCACGTGGGGTCCTTGACGAAGACCTTGGTCGCGCCGACGCGGAAGTCGACGTTTTCTTGGTACGCGAACGCCGGCAGCCCGAGGTCGAAGTGGGCGATGGTCGCCGGTTTGCCGCCGGCGAGGATCGCCCGGCAGCGGTCCGCGGGGCTCAAATCGACGCCCCGCCGGTTCCACGTCGCCTCGGCCACGAGCAGGTAGCGCCGGTGGAAGTTCTCGAACGTGTCTCGAAAGCAGTAGCCCGCGCGGCGCACGCGGACGTTCTCCAGGAGCCCGAGGTACTGGACCTGGTGCTCGACGCGCGCGTCGTCGACAACCCGCGGCTTCTTGACCTCGTTGGGCTTCACCGCGCGGACGTAGTGCGGCCGGCAGAGTCCCAGCGCGTCGAGCAACCCGTGGATCTGCGTCTTGTACTGCTTCGAGATCGTCGGCGGCGCGCGCTGGCCCTTGTCGCCGGGCGTCGCCCGGCGGTCCAGGAACAGGGTCTTGGCGACGCCGTTGCCCGCCTCGAGGACGACGTCGACGAGGTCCTGGTAGAGCGTGTCGCGATTCTTGTCGATGAAGTTCCGGCAGTCGTAGGCGACGTCGCCCGCGTAGTGCTTCACGCCGAAGACCGTCTTGCCCGCCCGCAGTCGCTCCTTGGGGACGAAGTGGGCGTGGGGGGCGCAGGACCGCTCCAGGTTCGACACGAGGCGGTCCGGCGACCCCTCCTTGTAGGCGCACTGCTCGTCGAGGAGCGCGAGCACGGAGCCCTGCTTCGCCTCGACGAGCGCGACGACGGGCGCGTTGTCGAAGTACTCGATGTGCTCCCAGGGGATGCCCTCCTTGTCGTACTCCGCCTGCTCCTCCTTGATCGTCAATTCGATGAAGAACTGCTGGAGCATCTCGTTCGTGTAGTTGATGAAGAACTGCTCGAGGTCGTTCGTCGCCAGGATCTCGAAGCCGTAGATGTCCAGGATGCCCAAGGTCTTGTGGTCGCCGACGTAGTTGATCGTGCCGTTGAGGTGGCGCACGACCCAGTCGAAGAGGCGCCGGTAGAGCTCCTTGGCCAGCGTGTGGCGGTTGTCGGACGCCGCGGCGCCGTCGAGGGGCACGGCGAAGGTCGACGCCCGCGAGCCCATCTTCGCGAGCTTGTGGGACGTGAGCGCCGTCGCCAGCAGGGCGCCGTCGACGTCGAGGAGCGCGGCCGCGGCCGCGAGGCCCGCGTCGTCCGCGGCGATGCCCGCGGGCGCGTCCGCGCCGCGGTCCTCGAAGGCGACGTTGCCCAGATTGACGACGGCGCCGAGCACCTTGAAGAACTGGGCCGCGTCGTTGAAGGCGACGCCGACGCCGTCGACGGACGTCTTGAGCTCGTCGAAGGCCGCGGCGTCGTCGACGCCCGACGCCGTCCGCGCCTCGCGCATGACGCACGCGTAGGCCGCCGGCCCGCCCTCGAGGAGCCGGTAGGTGGCGCGCTCGGCCTTGGACGCGCCGGCGAGGAGCTGGTGGACGATGTGGAAGTTGCGCTCGCCGTCGGCCTGCGCCGCGACGCGCGACTTCTCGAGCAAATAGTTCGAGATCTTCCCGCCCGCGACGGCGCCCCGGAAGTCGAACTGGAGCTCCATGTACTTGCCGAAGCGGCTCGAGTTGTCGTTGCGCACGGTCTTCGCGTTGCCCAGGGCCTCGAGGACGGGGTTGCTCATGAGGAGCTTGTCCTTGACGTCCGCGGCCGAGTGCTTCAGCAGCGGGTTCTCGAAGCCCACGAGCGACGCCGCGCGGGACCCGCGCACCGCCGCCCCGAGCCCGGCGACGACGGACGACCCGCGGCGCCGCGGCGCGCCGTCGCCGTCGTCGCGGTCGCCGTAGACGTCCCACATCGTCGCGTGCTGCTCCGCGAGCGTCGCGACGAAGCCGGACCGCTTCGTCGCCTCGGCGATCTCGTGCTCGCAGCAGGCGATGTAGGTGCCGAAGGCCGGCGCGTCCAGACCCCGCACGCCCTTCTTCATCACGGCGACCTTTTCGAAGAGTTTCTCGAGGAACGCGTCGCTCAGCACGCCCTCGTCGACGGCCGTCTCGAGGTCGGGCACCCGCCGGACGGCGTCGAGGCCGAGCGTCGCCGCGCCGTCGGCCATGTCCGCGAAGGCCTCGGCCATGGCGTCCGCCTCGTCGTCCTTCTTCCTCGCCTTGCCGCCTGTGTGGAAATCAACCAGTGAGCTGGGACGTCGGGGCCAAACTTCAGAAATCTCTAGCTCGATCAAATCGAAGTCGATTCGGCTGATTTTTGGACGAATCGATTGCTCTCGTCGAGTTCTCGAAGCACAGCTGAAGAGTCTGGTCCGAACCGTTCGATTACGCGCACATTGAAGTCGGGTTGAAGATTTGATTTCCACACAGCTTGCCGCCGATCTTCTTCACGCGCTTCTGCCGCTTCTTCGCGTCGACCTTGGCGACGGCCGCGGCGACCTTTTTCGCGACGGACGCGGCGTCCTCGCCGGCGGGCGGCGGCGGCGGGGCGTCGGCCGCGGGCGCCGCGGCGGCGGGCGGCGGCGGCGGCGCGGCGGCCCGCTTCGCCGCCCTCGCCTCGACCTTTTTGGCCGCTACCGTCACGAAGTTCATGAGCTGCTTCGCCGCCTCCGTCTTCCCCGCGCCGGACTCGCCCGTCACGAGCACGCACTGGTCCTCGCCGTCCCTGACCAGGGCGTTGTAGGCCGCGGCGCCGACGCCGAAGATGTGCGGCTTCTGCAGGTGCAGGATGGCCTCCTGGTAGTGCAGGGCCACGTCCTCGCCGTAGATGGACTTGCCGCCCCGCTCGAGCACGCGGTAGGGGTTCACGGCGATCAGGACCTCGCCGATGGCCGTGTACATCTCGTCCCGCTTGTAGCGCGCCGACAGCTCCTTTGAGAGGCCGCCGTGCGTGAGCTGGGCCTCCTCCAGGAGGATGAGGTCGTCCTTCATGTCCCGCTCGTAGAGCTCGGCATCCTGCGGGCTTAGCCCGCCGCTCAGGGCCTGCGCCATCGTGTGCTGGCGGCGAACAAGTGCGCTCAGACCTGGAGCATTGGTGGCTCCAGTGCTGCCCTGGAGTTTTTTGGATCGGCTGGCTGCTCCGTCGGCTCGTTGCCCTCGGAGTATTCGAGTATGGACCGACGACGGGCAGCCCCGGCGGCCATCGCGTGCGTCGTCGGCCTCGCCCTGGTCGCGGCGACGCTGCGCGCCGGGCGGACGCCCCACGACGTCGCGTCCCTCGCCGCCGCCGACGGCGAGCTCGCCGCGCCCCTCGCGGCGGCCGCCGCGCCCGACGGCGAGCTCGCCACGTCGAGCTACTCGCGCTTCGACTCGGGCCTCTTCACGTACCGGGGCCGGTTCCGGACGTCGGGCAGCAACGGCACGGACTTCGACGCCGCGGGCGCGGAGATCTCCTTCAAGCTCTACGGCCCGGCCGCGAAGCGCGTCGTCGTGAACATCACGCAGCCCATCGTCAGCGGCTACTTCGCCGAGAGCAAGTTCGCCGTCGTCGTCAACGGCGCCAAGCTCAACGAGACCTGGAGCACGCTGGCGTTAAACTTCTCGCGGCCCATGGCTTTCGAGTTCGTCTGCCCGCCCGGCGCGGCGAACGTGTCCCTCTTCAAGAACACGGAGGCCGTCTACGGCGCGCTCCCGACGCGGCGCAAGGACATGCGCAACTTCCTGCGCTTCCACGGCGTCGCCGTCCACTCCGAGGAGCCCGCGCGGCTCCTGAAGACGACGCGGGGCGACGACGGCGGCCGGAGGAAAAGGATCGCGGTCATCGGCGACTCCATCTCCGCGGGCGACTGCGACACGTGCCCCGCGGACGCGAATCCCGTCGTCGCCGCCGAGGAGTTCTACTACGCCTGGCCGCGCCTCGTCTGCGCGGCCTTCGACGCGCACTGCGAGTACAACGCGTGGACGGCTCTGGGCGTCGCGGACAACTGGGACTCCGTGGGCGACATGCACCAGCTCGACGTCTACAAGCTCCAGCTCGGCAGCGACTGGGTCTCGAGCGACATCGACGTGTACAACGACTTCGACGCCTTCGCGCCCGACGCGCTCCTCGTGAACGTCGGGACCGACGACGCGTACCGGGGCTACCTCCGGAACGCGTCGTCGTTCGTCCGCGCGTACTACGAGCTCATCGAGACCGCCGTGACGCGGAGCCCGTCCATCGCCGACGTCTTCGTCATGGCGGGGCCCATCTCCGTGTCCTACTACGAGGTCGTCGACGCGGTCATCTTGGCGTTCTCGCACGTCGAGGCCGCGGTCTCGGACACGGTCCGCCGGTTCTCCGAGCGGCTCGGCGCGGAGCGGCCCGACGTCGCCGTCCACTACCTGGGGCTCCAGCGGTACAACAGCTCCCAGTACGGCCACTTCTGCTGCGGCCACCCGTCCATCGACAAGCACAAGTTCATGGCCCAGTCCATCGCCACGAACATCTCCGCCAGCCTCGGCTGGAACCTCGTGACCCAGCCCCTCGACATCGACGTCATAACGACGTACTGACCTTGTTCTGTTCGCGCGTCGAGCCGGATTCGCGCGTGGGGACACGTCGAGCGAGGCGCCGAGAGGGCATACACGGATCTGCCACAGCGCAGTCACAGCCCGTGAGAATCGCTTGCTTCTCTGAGCCGACCCCGACCGACCCGGACACGATGGATGCGCCCGCCCCTACGACCGCGCAACCGCCCGCGACGGACGCACCCGGGGCCGCCGCGACCGCGCCGGGCGACGCCGCCGCGACCGCGCCGGGGGACGCCCCCGCGCCGGCGCCCCCGACGCCCGACGACGGCGACGACCTCCTGGCGCCCTGCGCCGACGACTGCGCGTTGCCCGCGCGCCACCCGCGGGCGCCCCCGCGGCCCATGGAGGCCTACGCCATCTTCCTGAAGACGGCCTACGCGTGGACGTCCGAGCGCCTCAAGAAGGACGGCAAGGGCGACCTCGACGTCCTCGAGGCCATCGCGGGCGAGTGGGCGTCGCTGCCGCCGTCGGAGCTCGCGGCGTACCGGCGCATCGCCGCGGGCGAGCGCGAGCGCTACGAGCGCGAGATGGCCCTCTTCGACGGCCCCGCGCTGCTCGCGCCTGCCGCGGCGCCGGGCCCCGGCTCGCGGAGGCCGCGCGTGAAGCGGCACCGCACGCGGAAGGACCCGAACGCGCCCAAGCGCGGCGCGTCGGCCTTCCTGCTCTTCGCGAACGCGAACCGGACCGCGCTCCGCGACGCCCACCCGGACAAGCACAACGTCGAGATCTCGAAGATGCTCGGCGCGATCTGGAAGAGCTGCGACGAGTCGACGCGCAAGCCCTACCTCGACGCCGAGGCCGCGGCCAAGTCCAAGTTCGAGGACGACATGGCGAAGTACCGCGACGCCGTGCGCGACGGCCGAGGAGGCGGCCCCGCGCCCGTCCCGCCGCCGGACGACGACGACGAGTCCGACGACGACGCGGACTCGCCGCTCGCGCCGCCGGGGGGCGCGGCGCTCTAAGGCGGCGGTCGAGCTAGCAGCATTAAGCGAGGGGGCAGGAGACGCGAACGGGGGAGATGTCTTCAAGTTGCGTGGTGGTGGCGGCTCAGTTCGCGCCGGCGGCCTCGAGCGTCTCCCGCGCGGTCTCGGCCCAGGTCCGGATCTGGCCCACGTAGCGGTCGAGCCGGTCGACGGACGCACTCGCCGCGTCGAGGTCGTCGTCGGACGCCTTGCCCTCGCGCTCGCGGCCCCACGTCTCGAGCGCCGCCGACGATTTGTGCACGCGCTCCATGGACAGGTTGCCCGCGACGCCCTTGATGGAGTGGCTCGCGATGCGCACCTTCAGCGGCCAGTCGTCCTTCTTCCCGGCGACGGCCTCGCGCATCGTGTCGACGTGGCTCGAGAACTCGCCGAGCGCGTCGTTGAGCAGGTCGACGGCGAAGTCGACGTCGTTGTCCACCTGCGGCGGGCGACGGGGTCGGGCGGCGCGCGCGCGGGTCGCGCGCGGCGCGGCGCACCATCTCCAGGAGGCCCTCGACGTTGACGAGGGCGCCGAGGTCCTCGTCCTCCGGCGCTGGAGCCGCGGGCTCGTCGCTCTTGGCCTTCTTATTGTCCGTGCTCGCGTCGGCATCCTCGTTTTCGCGCTTCATGGTGCGTGCGCGGTACGGTGGGCGCCGGAGCGGGCGGTCGCGGCCCTACCGCTTGCCCAGGGACCGATCGCCGGAGCAAAACTCAACACGAGAGACGCTCGCGCCAGACTGCGCAAGCAATCTTGGGATTTTTCACACTTCACCTCCGACCTGGAACTTCAAGCACCCACATTCAGGCAGCCCACGATGGCTACGGCCTCGTCAGCGTCTTCGTGAGCGCGCGGCGCGTCGCTCGTATACCCGGGAAAACCATGCGCTATGACAACCCGGGGCGCCGGAAGACGATGCCGTTCCTGCTGTCCGTCTACGCGGTCGCCGTGGGCATCCTCGCCGCCGCGTCCGTGCGCCTCGCCGCCGTCGCCGGCGGCGGCGCCTTCGCCGCGAGCGCCGTCGTCCACGCGTTTCTCCTCGGCTGGTGCTACGTCGGCTGCGTCTTTCTGGACCCGGGCGTCTTCGCGCGGAGCGGCCGCGGCGACGAGGCGCCCGCGGACGACGGCGGCCGCTACTGCCGCGAGTGCAGGGTCCACACGCCCTGGGGCGTGACGCACTGCCACGACTGCTGCGTATGCGTCGTCCGCATGGACCACCACTGCGCCGTCGTCGGCTGCTGCGTCGGCGACGGCAACCTCGAGCACTTCGAGGGCTGCGTGTACTTCGCGCAGACGCTGTCGTACCACGTCTACCTCGCCGTCGCCTGCTGGTTCGCGGCGACCTTCGCCGAGGACCCCGAGCCGGCGCTCGGCGTCGTCCTCGCCGTCGGCGCGGCCGCGGGCTTCTGCGCCGTCGCGTGCGCGGCGCCCCTGCCCCTGCGGCGGCTCGGCCTCGCGCGGGGCAAGCGGCACCGGCTCGACCGGGGCGCGTCGCCGGAGTCGCCGGCGAAGCGCCTCGTGGCGCTGCCGCGGACGAAGGTCTGCGGGCCCTGCTCCCTGCCGCGGAGCCTCACGGCCGACGACGTCGCGGCCATCCGCGCCGAGTTCCTCGAGGCGAGGCCGTCGCTCTTCCGCGACGAGCCCGCGCCGCCGCCGCTGGCCGTGCCCATGCCCGCGCCGCCCACGTCGCCGCCGCCGGAGGCGGCGACGCGCCTGCTCGGGCTGCCCGTCGGCGGCGGCGGCGGCGGCGGCGACTTCTCGGGCCTCCCCGCGGCCGCGCCGGCCGCGCCGGCGCCCGGCGACGCCGCGCCGCCGCGGACCTACGCGACGCCGGCGTTCACAGGCGGCCTCTTCCGGAGCGACGCCGCGGACGACGACGGCGCGACGGTCGCGTCGCCCGAGTCGCCCCAGTACACCGTCGTCCGCGACGCGGCGTCGGGGCGCCTGTCGAGCCGGCTCTAACCCCTAGCGGCCCTAGGCGGCACCACTGGAGCAGCATCGTCGGCTTGAGCATCATGTCCCCGTCTCTAACCCTAGGCCTTAGGCGGCACCATGCCCGCGGACTGGAGCAGCGTCGTCAGCTTGAGCATCATGTCCCGGCTCTCCGGGTCGGCCATGTGGCGCTGGAGCGCGGCCTGGCCCTCGCCGCCCATGACGTCCTTCATGATCTCCTGGAACTTGGGCTTCTGGAGCATGGTCATGATCTCCGGGTCGTTCATGAGCTTGAAGATCTCGTCCGGCGCGAGGCCCCCGGGGATCGACCCGTCGCCGCCCGCGAGCGACTCGAGGTCGTCGAGCGTCGACGGGTCGACGGCCTTGGTCGGGTCCATCATGGCCTCGGCGCGGCCCCGGTTGAAGCGGTCGAGGACCTCGGGCGCCGCGCGGCCGGCGAGGCGCGCGTCCTTCAGTCGGCGCCGCAGCTCGTCGGCCTCGACGCAGTCGCTGTAGTCGACGCCGCGCAAATCGAGCTCCGCCGTCAGCTCGCCGACGCGCATGTCCGACGTCTCCTTGCCGTCGCCGAAGACGTCGGAGGCTGCGGCGTCGGGCGGCGACGCGTCGGACGCGTCCGAAGCGTCGGAAGCGCCGGCGTCGGCGGCGGACGCGCCGTCGCCGCGCGTTTTGCCGAAGCGCCGCACCAGCGCTGGTCTTTGCGGCGCGGGTGCGAGGAACGCCGCGGCGCACCAGGCGCAGCAGAGCGTGACGCGGAGCATGGCAACGCGGCGGACGGCAACCGAGCCGACGCTCTCAAGACGCCGACATCTCTCTCTCTCTCTCCGAGAGCCCGACATTCGCGCGCCAAACCAGGGCCGGGGCATTTTGAATGTTTTGTCACGCACTTCAACGCGCCTCTGTCATGGCCACAGGCGCGTCAAACCCCGCCCAACCCACCAAAAAAACATCACGCGCAGCCTACTACGTCTGGCGCGGCGATGACACGAAAGTTTACACGAAGGCCCCGCCGGCTTGCTTGGCCTGGACGGGGCTGACGGGAGATATGCATGAAGGGGGGTATGTGCATGCAGACGATGGCCCGGGGACGGGCGACGGCGCCGCAGTCGCGGCGCGCGTGGGGGGGGGGGGGGGGGGGG